CAACTCTTTACAGTCTTTTTCCACTCTTCTACCTCTACTTAGTGGCGGGTAGGTACCATTAATATTAACACACACAAACACAGGAGAGAAATGTCACTCTGTGACATTCCTGCGAAGCCTTTTCTGGTTTGTGACCACAGAAAAGTCAGCCGGTTGTACACAAAAAAGCTCTGGTGACTATAATTGTCCTTTAGGACGTCCATGAGTTTACGGAGCAGCCCCATTGCGACGGAAGGAGACGTGTACAAAGAGAAAGTCTTTGTGTCTCCTGACAAACTACTCACGTAGTTTCTGTGCGTTGCCCCGACGTTTCGCAGTTCACGTACCTCACAGTTGTCAGTCTCAGGTCACCTAGCCATACCTCACAGTAAAAATAAACAATATCAAAGCCCTCTAACTTTTTAGCCATCACTTTCGGTCGATTCAGCCATCCCGTCGTTAATGTCTCTGTTTAGTGAACTACAGCAAACTGAAAGCCTGTACATTATTTATATCACACTTTATCAGTAGAAAAATGCAGGAAATGACTTTTTTAATGCAGTATTTTCTGATATATCGCGCAACACAAAGATATTTCGCTCTGTGCAAACCTTTGACTCTAATATCAACAACATGAAACAAGAATATGAACCTGGCTTTATCCGATGTTCACACAAGATGTTCTACATCCTGACACATCCTTCATCTACACTGTCTCAACTGAAAGAGGACCAGAAACACTTAAAAAATATAATAAAATGTGGAGACTTTGGGATATTTATCTCCCATTCTTTTACTTTTCGGGCATTTTACAGACCAGACATGTCGTTGATGTCACTGTTTACCAAACTACCAACTTTTTCTGAAAAATGCATAAAATGATGCAATATATGTTAAATACATGGTTTATTCATGTAATTACTGGGGTTCCATTTCTTCTGATTACCTAATTTGAGCGTACACATTTGCCGCGCGCAAACCTACCTCTTTTGGATTTGGAAAGGTTGGCATGTATGAAAGTAACATATTTACAAACACATGTTCTACGCCACTACATACTTACATTTAAATGTGTGCTGTGCTGCATCGGTTCAGCCATTCTCTGCAAGGGTTTTTGAAATTGGTCCGTGCGCAAAGCATTGTGGGGATTTGAAGGACGCGAAGTCTACCCATGTGCAGCCTCGAAATTACCCCCAAACCAAGGACGTGGCCTCGGTGGAATTCCAAGTATGCTGGAGATTGAAATAGTCCTTCGGCGGCACTCGATGACGTAGTATCCTTGAAATGTTGGCTTGGAAGCCAGTTTCCTTGCGATTGAGAAACGGCCAGTAATATTGAGGCTGTGTCATGTAGCACAAGGAGTAATAAATGCCCACACCGGGTTATATTTGAACTCTCTGCCTCTGCCTCCTTGCTTAGTCGGGCCGCTCAACGGTCAGCTTCACACTCCCACTGAGAAATATTTAGAAAAAATAAAAAAAGTAAAAGCCATTGTAAGCAATATTGCTCCCTTCTATATGATAGTGTTGCGCCTAATAGGATTATGCAAGAAGAGGCTGTGTGTGATGGAGAGGAGGGTAGACTCCCATGATTTACAAGCCTGACAGGAACAATTAGGAGGGCTCACTTAGTGGGCTATTACTCAACACATACAAAATGAAAAGCCTGCCTTTCATTTGCATCAATGCAGCCATAAGGGAAGCAAGTGGAATTGTGACTGAAAAGAGATACTCTAACTAGGGAGCCTATTAAAAGCTAAAATAGCCTCTGGATTTATATTTTTGCACAATACACATAAACATTTTTGGCACAGACGTGTTTTTCCCCCCTTGTGGGCTATCCTGCTACAAAACTCTTGACTCTAACCGGATACAACATGTTATAAATATTAAAGGCTGTGTATTGATAGTTGCTCATTATTGCCTGAATGTGTGTAATTCAAGTCGCACCACAAGTTGGAGGGGTGACACATAACATTACAGTGTACAGAACAGTCATGTTGTGCTACACACCCCAGGCTCTGTAATTATAAGCTTTTTTTTCTGTTAATGTAAAACAATAGGATTGAAAGGCAAGACTCTTGTAAAAAAATATGATGAGAGTATTCACAGCTAACTGATGATTATTAGTTTAACATGTTTGACATTCATAATCCTATACGGCATATTCTGGCAGTGTTTACTTCTATATGAGTGAGTGCAGGTAGATGAAACTCTAGAAACAGGACAGCACAGCAAGAGGCAATTAGAGCAGCTCCAGTATTTCTTGGCTGGCCTAATGGGTCACGTGTGCATGCAGCAACGAGGGACATCCAGCAGCTCCCATCCCCACATCTGCTGAATAAATGAGAGATCTCTCAAAAAAAGCACAATGTTCGTTGACAGCTGATCAGAGAACTGGCGTGAGATGCAACTAATGCAAGTATGGCGTTGTTTGTGTGCGTGTGCTTTGAAAACGGAGTGGCATGCGGATCACTGTTGCAACTTGCAACCTACATGAAAGATGATCTGGGCTACTTATCGGGAGTCTGTGCACGCATTCACTTTTGTCATACATTAAGTAGAGGAGATAGAGGTTTAAGCTTAATCCCACACCCACCTGCTCCTGTAGGATTTTGGACTATTACTGCCTGCTCTTCCAAAAACACAGCCCCTTTCCCCTTGTTCTTACTGTGATTTTGATCACTGCCGCCCTCAACAAAGTTTTCTGTTGCAAATCTGTCTCACACAACCCACAAGGAAGATTATACATTCAGTATGAAGCCTTCATGGAATTCATACTGGTAACCTTTAGAAGATGAGAACTGAAAAAAAGCTATAGACAAGGTGAGAGAAAATGAATACAAGTCTCACTTTTTAAGTAAAGGTTTTACTTAAGAATGGTCTGAGTCTATTTAAAGGTCCCCTATTATACTGTTTTTCATCAATATATTATAGGTCTCAGATATATATATAAAAAAAAAAAACATGTCTTTGAAGTGTTTGGCTCGAAATAACATAGGGATCATGCATTGTAGCATCCCATAATCCCCTCTGTTTCAGCCCTGTTTGAAAAGTGCTGATTCTGTGTCTGTTACTTTCGATGAAAATGAGGAGCCACTCCCCACGCCCCTCTGAGAGATATTTGGTTAAAAAGAACACAATGGTGCTCTAGGAGGAGATTCAGGTGATAAGGTGGGGGGGGGCTACCTTGGTTGGTTATTGGCTAATGGTTACAAAAGCCAAAACATCGTTATGACATCATAAAGTGGCCAAAATCTGATCAGCTCATTTTCAGACAGGTTTTTATATAAATGGATCAGGACTGGAGCTGAGCCAGAAGGCAAAGCTCTCTGTCTACCGGGCCATTTTCGTTCCTACCCTCACCTATGGTCGTGAAGGATGGGTCATGACCGAAAGAAAGAGATCGCGGCGTACCAAGCGGCCGAGATGGGTTTTCTCCGCAGGGTGGCTGGTGTCTCCTTAGGGATTAAGTTGAGAAGTTCCGGTCATCCCGGAGGGACTCGGAGTTGAACCCGCTCTCCTTCGCGTCGAAAAGGCCAGCGTTGAAGGTGGTTCGCACCCTTAGTTAGGGATGCCAACCCTGGGCGGCCTCTCTAGGGGGGTGTTCCAGGCACGGTCCACGCTGGGAGAGCCGAGGGGTAGACCTAGGACCAGGTGGAGGATTTATATCTCTTCTCTGGTCCTGGTAGCGCGCTTGGGACATCCCCCAGTCAGAGTCTGGTTTGATGTGGCAGGCAAAGGAAAGTTTGGGGGCTCTCTGTGAACTGCTACCTCGCGACCCGACCGCGGATAAGCGGGAGAAGATGGATGGATGGATGGATCAGGGACAAAAAGTGCGCCATTTTTGTGTCCTGAAACTTTCAGAATCTCTTCACACAGAGGGGACACATGTTTATGAAAGAGGATTTTGCATATATAGGTGACCTCTAAGTCGCCTGCCCTGTTTATCTGTCTGGTCATTTGGGATGGCATTAAGGCCTGCTGTGTGTGTAGTCCAGTGTTGGGCTCGTTGGCAAGTCACAACCCAGGTCAGATAAACGTAGGTCATCATGCTCTGCTGTAGCATACTCTGTGTTCTGCTGTAAAAATGTTACACACATTGTGTTTGACTCACCACAACCCCCGAAAATGACCAGTTTCAAATCATAATTTGATCAATTTGATTTCATCACACATTTTTTTCTTCAGTAAGTAAGGAAGCCTTTTTTTTTTTAAAGATAATAAAATAATAACAATTAACTTGTGTTTGTTGTTCATTCTGGATTATATCAACGAGTGTATTTGTATTATATGTATGTGTATGTGTATTTGTATTTAAGGGACCAAATTTACAGGGGGACATTATTATACAGTATGAACCCTCGACTGAATGTTTACTGTGCATATGTAATCAACTCTTGCGCTGAACCAGTGAATAAGTCCACGCTATTTTTTTTATCATTACTCCCCTAGGTGCTGCTCAACAAATTGCGATGATCTTAAGAGTGTCTTTAGTCATGACGCTCTGGGAAACATCCCTTAGGTTCAATCAAATTGGAGAATTTACTGCATGTAACAGACTTTTCTTAGGTGGTTCATGGTTACATCTTATTTTACAAACCTATAGATGTATAGTTAGAGTATTAATCTAGTACTGAAAGGCCTCTCAATGTCATTATACTCTTGAAATAACAGTATATCATATATATGAATCTATCAATTTTTCCCCATATATTCTCATGCAGCCTTTTTAAGGTGA